TGTGTGTGTGTGTGTGTGTGTATTTTGGAAAAGGGTCTTTGCAAGTATGGTCTCTCTCTCCTCTCTCTTTTCTTTCTCTTCCCCCTCTCTCTTTCTCTTTCCCTCCCTCTGTCTTTCTCTCTCTTTCTTTTTTCTCTCTTCTCTCTCTCTCTTTCTCTTCCCCCCAGTCTTTCTCTCTCTCTCTCTCTCTCTCTCTCTCTCTTTCTTTTCTTCTTCTTCCCCCTCTCTCTTTGCCTTCCTCTCGGTCTTTCTTTCTCTCTTCCCTCTCTCTCTTTTGCCCCTCTCTCTGTCTTTCTTTCTCTTTCTTTTTCTTTCTCCTTTCTCTTTCTCTTCCCTCTTTCTCTCTGTTTCTCCCTCTCTTTCTCTCTGTCTTTCTCTTTCTCTCTCTTCTTTCTCTCCCCCATTGGTCTTTCTCTCTCTTTTTTTTTTCTTTCTCTTCCCTCTCTCTTTCTCTTTCCCCCTCTCTCTGTCTTTTTCTTTCTTTTTCTTTCTCTCTTCTCTTTCTTTCTCTTCCCTCTCTCTCTTTCCTCCCTCTCTCTTTTTTCTTTTTCTTTCTTTCTCTTCCTTCTCTGTCTTTCTTCTTTCTCTTTCCCCTCTCTCTTTCTCTCTGTCTTTCTTTTTCTTTCTCTCTTCTCTCTCTCTCTCTCTCTCTCTCTCTCTCTCTCTCTCTCTCTTTTTTTTTTTTTCTCTCTCTCCATCTTTGCAAGGGGAAGCCTCCTTTCCTGCAAAAGTCTAAGCACCAGTCCGTTTGCACTCAGTTCTCCAGGACAGAGAGATTAGTGTCGCTTGGGTGGCTGCCAGCTGGGGTTGTGTACTCCGTGACCCACAAAAGGCATCTTTAAAAAAAAAAAAAAAAAGCAGAGGAGGCTGGGAAAAACCTCCCAGCCTCCTTCTCCTGTTTTCTGCCTGTTTGCAAATTGGTATTTATTTGTTTTTTAAAAAAAATTGATACGGCTGCCTAACTCGTGGCCATTCCGGGCAGCTTAGAGAAATAAAACCCCAGTGCCAAACCCGATTAACCCCCTCCCTCCCTCCACACACACACACACACACACACACCCTCCTGGCAACGACAGCCACGCTGACCACATAAAGGCAATCCTTGACTTAACCACCACAGTTGAGCCCAACATTTCTGTCGCTAAGCGGGACGGTTGTTAAAGGCGCCTCGCCCCATTTTACTACCTTCCCTTGCCACCGTTGTTAAGCGAATCACCGCAGCTGTTAAATGAGTGACAACGGTTGTTAAGTGGATCTGGCTGGCCCCCCCCCCATTGACTTTGCTTGTCAGAAGGTCGCAAAAAGGGGATCGCGTGACCTCCAGGACGCTGCGCCCGTCATAAATAGGAGTCAGTTGCCGAGCGGCCGAATTTTGATCACGTGACCCCCACGGGGATGCCGCGAACGGTCGTAAAGAGGAGGAGGACTTGTTAGGGATTGGGGATGAGAAGGGGTGACTCTCTGGGGCAGGCAGGGTTTCAGCTCCTTGGGGAGGAAGTGCATTTCCCATGGATCCCCTGAGGCTTTCTGGGGCTCATCAACTTGCAAAAGTCAACCGAGGCTGCGGGTTGTTTGGGAACTCGGTGGTTTTCTTGGGGACGTTTCATGACCCAGCTAGGGAACATCATCAGAGTCAGAAGGGAAGGGGGTACGTGGAGTGGAGGAGAAGAAGGAGGGGAAGAGGAGAAGAAGGGCAGGAACAGGAGGAGGAGCAGGAGGAGGAGGACTGTGGGGTCCTTGGTGCTCTCTGAGCTTGGCGGTTTTCTTGCAGACGATGACCTCCAAGGTCCCTTCCAACTTTATTATTATTATTATTATTATTATTATTATTATTATTATTATTATCATCA